CCCACCCTCACAGTCTGTGATATATATACTCTCAAGAAATCTCAAGTTTATTTCCATTTAGATATAAATACAGTATAGAGTTTCCCATGAAAGACCCTAGCCTAAAAACAGACCAAGTCTCTCCTGGAAGTGGTATCTCATAAGACTCTGGTTTAAAAGACTTCTCATGACTTGCCCTCACATGACAAAGTGTTTCTGATATGAAACCATATCCAGAAGAGACCAAGTTAGCCATGTTTTTAGGCAATGTTCTCTCATGGAAAACTACTTTAATTTCTCATGTTGTATGGGCAACAGGCATATATTCTGGTAATGTATTAAATGACTGCTTGTTACACAATGTTTGATAATAACCACATACCATCATTCAACGCTCCGCTAGAAGATTGGTTTGTCCCTTGTTGGAAGCACCTCAGTAACCGCACCATGTACCCACCAAATTCTGTCACACACTCTCCCATTTTAGCCCCAACCAACCTGTATTGCTTGATGTGAATGGATGTGAACCAACATTTTCCATTGGCGTTTTTTTTCCTCCCCTTTCATGCCCCGATTGCTGCTGGATGGGGAATAATTCACCACTCCACCCCCCCCATATCTCCCTCCTTCCTACCACCCCGAAGTTCAAGGCAAGTGTTACCGTGCCAGACTGCCCCGGCCCTGAACGGTAATAGTCCCACCTAGAGTAACAAATCATTCTCTCTTTTCTCTCTCTCTCCCTCCCTCCCCCTTCTCTCAATTGGCAACTGCCCTGATACTGGTTGACCCCCACTGTGGAGGAGGCACAGTAGGACTCATTTCCCATTGGTCACACAAGAGACAGACGGGGTCAGCCAGTAATTCTCTATATTCTGGCCTTGGACTTCCCCTCAGGATTATTCCCTCCATATTTACTTACTTCCCCTTTTCCTGTGTGTATTGTGGAGCAATGGAAGCTACAGAAACCTTGTTGGTTGTAGACAAGCAAACATGTTATCTTTGTCAGCCAGTGTAGGATATAATTATTGAAACAAAGGAGGCTCCAAGTAACATGATAAGCAATCCCACAAAGCAATAAAGTGGTTCCCCCCCAGAGATTGGTATCACCAGGCACACAATCCCATTGATAGCCATCACCATCATTTTCTATGAACTTTTTCACCTTGTGGAGCATTTACTTTATACTATTGAAACATAAGAGCCCTTGTTTGAAATGGGCATGTGTACATCAGCAGCACGTAGCCTGTTTGTGTGACCATAACACTGAGCTAGTAAATTGATGCAATGACAGACACTAGCAGCTAGCAATTGTTGATTGGAGGAATGAGATAGAAGTAATGGAGGTGTTCCAAGGCTTGGTAAGAACAATATATCTTGTTAGTGAGAAGAAGGCAGTTGCCAATTAAGAGAAGCTGTCTCTATCTAGAGAGAAGAAGGGTCTGGCAGAAGGAGCAATGTTGCCCTCCTTTCCCCTAGCTGAGCTGCTGTCTTGACCTCTCCACAGCTAATGGTGTCCTATTTGCCAGCATCTTGTCAATTGGCATAGACGTGGAGTCACTGCCAGAGATTCTCCTGGACATCCTCCCCAAGCTAGAGGAGGTAGGTAATCTCAAACTGCACATATCTGAGTACATGTCACTTGTTTCACAGATCATTAGGTAACAAATCCAAAAATACATGAATTGTTCACAGACATATAATCTTTATTTCAACACTTAATGTAATTCAACCAAGTTTAAATGACTAATTCAAGCACCAACTTTAATTCAATATGAAAAGCACCTTTCCCTTGGGGGATTGAATTAAATGTGATGTTGGTGTAGTTCCCTTATTTCAGTAAATAAACTGAATAATTTAAGGGATTGAAGTGGATATTAGAGATAAAGAAAAGGCTTACTCACACAGATCAGTTGAGTCACCAAAGAATTCAACTATTTATTTGCATGTTCTAATATTTTATACATAAAATCTCCTTTTTTTATACTGCCTTCCAAAAAAAAGTTTTTTTTTTCCCTAAAATATACACACTTTCTAAGCCCCTTGGGAAATGAACAGGCTGGTCTGACGTGATGGTGGCCAAAACTCAAGAGTCAGTTGGTCAGTGGTAAAAATGATTTTATTTTTCACTGAATTTCTGTCCATCTCAAAACTTTTAAAAAGTTTGTAAAATCATAAATGACCTAACCCCACCTCCTATGGAGATTGGGGATATCCATGTTCTCTATGCTATGGACTGTCTTGAAGTCTCAAATCTTGATTTGAGATTCAAAACATGAGCAAATATATACATGTTACCAGATATCTTAGTGCCCTCAATCAGCTGAATACAATTATTTTAAGGTTTATTTTTTAAAATTTCATCAATTTTTTTATATCTACACTTCAACTCCTCCATCTACATATGGTAGAACTTGACAATATTTTGTCCAGATATGTAATTTTGAAACTTTTAAAATGATTACGTTTACAAATCCCTGTTCACAGTTGGATTCACTTGCCCAGGTGGGTGCACAGTTTGAGAACAATGAACAAGATCCTTCAGATGGACATTGTGAAGTTCGGATGCTTCTTCACCAAAGTCATGCCGGCTGCATTATCGGCAAGGGAGGCTCACAGATCAAGATTCTCAGAGAGGTGAGGATTGAGCCCACTAGATAGAGGGCTGTGGCTAACTGTGGGTTGTACAGAAAACTGGAGCCCACATCAAAGTGTATTCCAATGTCTGCCCATCTTCCACGGAAAGAGTGGTCCAAATTTCTGGCGAAGTCAAAGTAATTGTGAATTGCATCAGTGAAATAATAGCTCTCATCTCACAGGTGGGTTGACTGAGGTTGTGGGGGAGATTGGTGTGTTGACTGGTGGTGTGCAGTCTCCGGTGAAAGGCCCCACCACACTGTACGACCCCCACAACTACGACTCGTTCTACTCGGGGGAGTACGGGGGCTACAGCGACGGCAGCCGGCTGACACAGAGGTGAGTGCCCCCTGCCTGCCTGCCACCCTCCACTACTCCCCACCATTTATTTCAGCAGAAGCGAGAGCCCCCCCTCATACCCCCACCACCAAAATAGATACCACCTCTATAGTAAATCTGACCCTCCCAGCTGGATAGAAGAGTAAGCACCTTTTTTTTTTTTTTTTGTGTGTGTGTTTTGTGTTTGTTGTATCATTTTATAAACACCGCCCCCACCCTTGTCACACCCACCCTTTTGTGTTCTAACCCCACCTGCAACTTTCTCTCCCATCTGTCGATACAGGTGAACAACTCCATGGTAATAAGACAAAATGCTAATAAATTAATAGTGTGTGACATTTCGGTAACACCGTTGTTACCAGCACTGTTACCCAAACATCACACACTATTAATTTATTTGGGTTTGGTCTTATTACCCTGGAGTTGTCATCTATAATACAAATTGTGCCTTATCACAATTGAACAACTCATTATAACAAGATTGTTATAACCATGGTTTAAATACATTCAAAACTTGAGGTTTTAGAATATATTATAACCAAGTTGTATAATGAGGTTCAACTTAATGTATATATATATCGGAAGAAAGGTCCCTTCAACATAAATACCAAAAACTATCTCTTAATTCTCTCTGAAAACTAATCAGATTCAGGTCTGTGACAATCCACTACACCAGTGCTGGAAAATTCTGAATGCCATGGACAATTTCCTGATGATCCCTGAAAACTTCCTTTTGTTTACTTCATTTACTCCAAACTTCTTTTTTGGTTATCCTTTGATTTTGAGAATTCTTCTAGCACACCAAATGTTAAAATGTCATTTTCACTCTCCATTTTTTTGGTCCATAGTCCATACAGGAAAATTGACCAACAAAACATTTAAGCATCCTTTTTTTTTTTTTAGAGTTCCATATTGATAGCTCTTTTTCCTCCAAAACAGCATCTTTTACTTTGGAATTCTGACTTCTTTTTGCATTTTCTCTCATTGCGAACTCGTGTATGATTTTGGCTAGACAAGGTAAAAAGATCAAATCCAAAAAATAATTTATTACCTTGTTTTCAAACTCAATCCAAATTATACCTAATCGTTGTGATATGATTTTTGTTTGAATATGTATACAATGTAGTTGTGATTTTCTCCACTGTTGCCCTCCAGTCCTGTGATTGTAGATGAAGGTAAGTGTCCTCCAGCCTAGGAGGTGTAAACCTCTGACTGACTAGGTGGAGTCCCTTTGCCCCCCGCATGAGCGCACCCTTGCGTGGCTCCAGCCTCCGCATCCCTCCGCCATTTATGGGGGCTCGTGGGCGCGCCCCCTTACCTCCGCCTGTCCGCTCCTGGACGGCCTCAGGGCGGCCTGAAGGTCTGCCCACACGGCCCCCAACTCCTGCCTCCTGGAGGACTACAGTCCGGCCCCCGGCTCCCACTGAACCCCAGTACAGGTGGGTGGTGGACACACTCGCTGTATCGTGGTACTGACTGTTGCTGGCTTGTAGCAAGCCCCCTGCAGACAGCTATCCTTTCGGGGCCATAGCTTCCCCCAGCACTAGCTCCACAATGGGAGACTCCATCTTCGGAACCCCCCTGCCCAACTATGCAGCTGATACTGCCCAGTCAGCCCCGGTAACTACCTCCAGCATTCCTGCCGCTGCTAGCTCAAGGGTTATATTGCAGCTCGGGACTCTCTTTAATTCTAAGCCCATTCTGAATGGAGACAAGCAGGGCTCATCACAAGTCACTATACCAAATGATGTAAGCCACCATTCTTCCTTACTAGAGTCTGCAGAGCCAGCTGTTGTTTCCTCGCAGCTCGCCGGTGCCATCATTGGGAAAGGTGGTCAACGCATCAGGAAGATCCGGCGCGAGTCTGGTGCGGGGATCACCATAGATGAGTCTCAACCTGGTAGCAACGAACGGGTCATCACCATCTCTGGCACGCCCCAGCAGATCCAGATGGCCCAGTACCTCTTGCAGCAAAAGTAAGTGGCTGACAGCGTCTTCCCCGCAGCTGACTGACCTACTGACTACTCACACCACTGACTGGTGCCCATCCCACCTGGAAGACTAGTGATTTTGTTGTTTGGACCTTTGGAGAAACAAGAAGTCACTAGCTTCTGGTGGTGGGGCACGCCTCTCCTTCCTGCTGGCTCCTCCTTTGTAAGACTAACAGCTTGGTTCTTTTCTCTTCTGCCTGCTACTGCATGCCTAGTACTTAGCTAGCTAGCTAGTTATGTCCGGCTAACTCCACTGCCTTGTTGGTGTTGCAGTGTAAGAGAACATTCCGGAAGGAAGTTTTAACTTCCGGACAACTCAGTCAAGAAGCCAAGATTTAAAAGAGAAAAAAAAAAATTCCTAGATTTTATTATTATTATTTTTTGTTAACAAGAAAAATATTTTTAAAAAAAGATACTTGTTTTTTTTTTTTTTTTTTTCTCTGTTTTTTATAAACAAATTTTATAAAAAGAGAGAGAAAGCTAAATCTATGTATACACCCAAAGTTGAAGAGGAGTGCAATGATTCTCCCTCCATTTTGTTTGTTTGTTTATTATTATTTAAAAAAAAAAAAGAAAGAAATTGATTTTAAATTTGGAATTTTTGACATTGAAGTTTTGTACAGAGAGAATTTTAATTGTTCTGGTTGTTTCTTCTTCCCTCCCTCAAACTCTGGTCAAACCAACCTCCATCCAGCTCAGTCCGTTCCAACTCTTGTTGTTGCATAACGTCCATTGTTGCATACTCTCTATTTGCATACATAAATTCTCTATGTTATATATACATTCTTCTTACAATGGAATGGCAAAAAAAGTTATTTAAAAATTTGTATACTTGTCATTCCTCTAGTTGCAATTATTATTTTCTCTGAAATAAAATTTTTGGATTATTGAAGCCTCCTTGATTGATTTTTCTCCTTTTTTTCACAAATAGTCACTTGATGTGATGAGCTTCACATATAATTTGTGTTACAGACTTAACTAATTAGAAACTATTTTTGCTTTTTTTTTTCCTAAACAAAATATCTACTAACTACGAGAGATGGAACTACAAGGTAATAAGATCAAATCTAAATAAATAGTGTGTGACGTTTCAGTAACTAGACAACTTCAGTTACTAGACCAAGACTTTAGTCTTTTGTTTGAGGATGGTAACAACACTTTTACCAAAACATCACATACTATTTATTTATTTGGATTTGTTCTTATTACCTTGTGTTTCTAATGTATAATCCAAATTGTGACTTGTATCATGTGAGAGATGGAAAGTGGGCTCCTCAGTGATGAACAGCCAGTTTACAATCTACCAGAGACTGTTGTATCAGCCATACAGATTTATAGAGGAATTCTTGGTACAAACCACGGACCTATATTTTTCTGTAAAGTCTTGCTAAAACAAACAAGGGATAGACTAAAGTTATAATGAGCCTAAATTAATCCTCATATTATAATACATGCTCTAGTCTACTATTGTCAACCACATTGGGAGGTTTTACTGTGTTCCTAACATAACAGCTCAATACAATACAGTAAAACCTCCCTTTAGTGGACACCTCTCTATAAAGGACAGTTTTCATCATCAAAATTACCATTTTTACTATTTTGACATTCTCCGGTAAGAGGGCACCTCTCTCTAAAGGACACTTTGGCTCTGCAATTAGGTGTTGTCCTTTACAGGGAGGTAGTTCTACTGTATTATGGTGGTATTGTTGATTAAACTGGCGAAACTGCTGGGAGGGTTCCTACTGATGAGCCAGGCATTCCTATTAATTTATTATTGGAGTAAGAACAGTAGAAAGTAGTTTTATTATCAAAAATATTTGCTAATTTTTAACTACTTGATTTGATTTTAAACCATTTTATCATATATTATCTCTCAATGTGTGTTCATATATACCAATCTAAAAACAATGAAGAAAAATACGGTTCACTAATGTACAGTCCACGTGGCAACAATGAGTTCTCCAGTAGGTCTGTGTACTCAAGGCTCAGGAAAAAAATATGTACACTCATGGACAAAACTTAAGCAAGTTTCATATTTTGATGTCACACTGGTTACATTATGTTTTTTCTTGAATAAGAAGACAGAGGTGTTCACACTTGGTTATCTCGTGTGTCTTCAATAAAGGTCACTGTAATATCTTTCAGAGTTATTGTCTGAATCCCGATATACATACTGAAAGGTACAACTTCCATAAGTCCATGAGTGTATATATTAGAGTTATTGTCTGAATCCCGATATACCTGCTAAAAGGTACAACTTCCATAAGTCCATGAGTGTATATATTAGAGTTATTGTCTGAATCCCGATATACCTGCTAAAAGGTACAACTTCCTTAAGTTTTGTCCATGAGTGTATATTTCAAAGTTATTGTCCGAATCCCAATATACCTGCTAAAAGGTACAACTTCCTTAAGTTTTGTCCGTGAGTGTATCTTTCAGAGTTATTGTCTGAATCCCGAATATACATGCTAAAAGGTACAACTTCCTTAAGTTTTGTCCCTGAGTGTATCTTTCAGAGTTATTGTCTGAATCCCGAATATACATACTAAAAGGTACAACTTCCTTAAGTTTAGTCCATGAGTTTATTATATAGTAACCCCATCATTGACTGTATCAATCAATAATCTCTGATTACCTTTTAATTTTATATGTTCTCTAAATTTCAAATTAAGAAATAAAACTATCAACTATTTTTGAAAATTAAAATTCTGATCAACAAACACCATGAAAGACATCTTTATATGATTAAGAGGAGATCAGAAGCTAGCCATATTTTACATAGGCTATTTACATACTTCAGGTTTCTCTTGGTTGAGCATGTCAATAGACCATTAGCAATTTGATAAAAGTTGCTTCTTCATGGAATCTAACTCTCAAATACCATTACAACACCTGCTCCATTGTCATAAAGAACGCCACACATCCATTTTGTTATATAATGTAACATTTTCCCCACCCACCTGGTCCTTTGGATTATTCCACCAATTTCTGGTCTAAGGTGGCTAACATGGCAATGGCACCCATTTTTCAACAAGACCAAACACAACATTATTTTCTCCACCTAGAATATGTTAATAAGTCTTGATAATATTTGCATATCCAAAGTTATGCCACCCTCCAGACCTCATTACAGAAAAGTTGTTTCAGGGTTAATTATTATGAAAACGTATCTATTAAATCCACATTTCATTTACCTATATAGGTTATTATAACCTTATTTATAAACACAAGGTAATAAGACCAAATAAATAGTGTGTGACATTTCGGTAACAGCTTTGTTACCATCTTCAGACATTCTCATTCAGCACTTTTGTCTGAAGATGGTAACAAAGCTGTTATCGAAACGTCACACACTATTTATTTATTTGGATTTGGTCTTATTACCTTGTGTTTATAATCTATAATCCAAATTGTGCCTTATCAACCTTATTTATACTTTTGTCTTTTATGTAAATAGGATGCGATTGTTTAGATCTAAATAAATTGCCATGGCATGCTGATTGTATATATTTTTTTACATGACAAATTTTGTACCTATTTTTTTTTTGCTATAAGATGAATTCACAATTTCTTTTTTTTTAACCCATTATTCTTTTAAACATCAAAAACTTGTATTCTATTATAATCAGAAAGATATTGATAGAAAGACAAAAACTTGGAATTTTGTAAAGTTAGTTTTGCAAGTTATAGATATGAAACGGATCAAGAAACTCCCATAGCCCATAATTTATAATCTACCTTACTAATAATTCTGTTTATTATTGTATAACAAGGAACGTGACCACATTGATTTGTCTACCTATTTTTTATTAATCTGTTATATACTACAGAAATGAATGGGTGTAATTTGACCACGGACTACATCTCTGCTTAGTCCCTTTTATTTATTTTTTGGGGGAGAAATAATTTTTTTGAGAGAAGTGGTAAAAGTTACGATGTCTGCCCGAGAATCAAGACCTGGAAACAAATCCCAAGTCAAACTGGATGTATACCAGATCCTACCTGATGACCTAATGGACCCCACGACAAATAAAACCTTCATTTTGATTCCTCCATATGCCTTCCTATCTCTACACATGGTGGAGATGCAAATGGATCCAATCTCGAGCAACACTGTAGAAGCGATTGAAGGCCTGGAACTGAAGCAGTTCTATCCTGATGAAGAAGACTACCTGGAGGAATTCAAAACATGGCTGGAAACAAGTCCCGAAAAGAGACTGTACGAAGATCCTGATGCGATAGTTCCCACTTGACAGCCACAAATTCATCAGGTGCAGGTTCGCACCTTCGGCCACACTTGAAGATGTCCTGGAGTTGTCGAAACTATGATACTCAAGGAACGATGGCTTGGCACGTAATAGGGACAATGAACTAAGAAGATGAAACGATACCAGTTGACGGAATCTACGTGGAAGTTTCTAACAGACCTTGTAACAGCCCACGTAACGGCAGGGAAGTTCTCCCCATTTAACTTGGTGGATGGCCTGCAAATGGCACTAGCACCAAAGGAGTGTTTAATTATCACAGCAGCATGATGTAGAATAACCAACGGAAGCACAGTTCTTCACGGCTGCGAGGTTCTGGACAATGTTCCGGAGTAGGAGGTGGAGACCACTTCCAACCAGGAACAATGGGAAATACTGTCTTCTTCAAGAACCAACGAAACAGCTCTCTCTGCCATACTTGTAAATGCAAAAGTCAAACTGCTACTACATGTGTAGACCTGTGATGCACTTACAGTTAAAGCAGTCACTAACTTTTGCAATATCCACCAGGATAATCATAGCTTGTATCATATGTACTTAGGATAAGTAAAAAAAGTATTGATTCTCAAAATAAATTTGTTGCAAAGGGGGTAAATGGTCCTAAAAAGACTGGGAACTTGTAATCTAGTGGTTACCATTTAGGGTAAATTTGTAGGTCTTCCCAAGGTAATAAGACCAAATCCAAATAAATAAATGACGTTTCAGCTGTTACTGAAACGTGGCACACTATTTATTTATTTGGATTTGGTCTTATTACCTTTTGTTTATAATCTATAATCCAAATTGTGCCTTATCATTGTAGGTCTTCCATAAGAATAACCCTTGTTTCTGGCAGCATCTTCTCATCAATGTTATGATGAACGCTACT